TGTGTGTGTGTGTGTGTGTGTGTGTGTGTGTGTGTGTGTGTGTGTGTACACAGTGGAGTCTTCTTCAGTGATGATGAAATAATGTATTGGGAGCAGTAGGTGCTCAGTAAAATCCTCTGTTTCTGTTTTCACAGACGGTCAGAGGAGGAAGTGGACATGGACAAGGTGACGGCTGCCATGGTGCTGACAAGTCTCTCCTCCAGCCCGCTGGTCAGGAGTCCACCTGTCAAAGTCAACGGTGAGTAGTACTGCTAATAAACAACTCCGTTAGTGGGGGATGTTCTTTTGACACAGTGAGCAATATGCTTTAGATTGTTCTTTGGCTTTGATGAATCATTCCCTCCCTCCCAGAACAACTCTGTAATTTGTACGTTCTGCTTAGACACCGACTTTTCATTCCCTCACAGCTGTTATCTGGTGAATGCATGTGCAAGCTTAGGTTGATAAATTACTGCCACCTGCTGTGCTTCAGGATTCGCTCATCAATGAATTCTGCAAATCCACGGAAAAGCACAATGAGTCTGGATCTCCGCCACCGTGTTTGGTGGCGGAGATCCAGACTCATTGTGCTTTTCATTGTGCCAAAGTGCCCCGTTACCGCCGTCACACGCAACCACACGGGTAGTCTGTGCAAAGGACCGTTCAGTCAACCGAGCAGACACGCAGCCAACCCTCCAACCACCATGCACGTGTTATCACAGTTTTCACACACACACACACACACACACACACACACGTGAAACATATATCATGCTCACATGCACAAAGTGGATTTTAAATACCAACTGTACAGTTTTATCTGAATGTAGTCAAACAGATGCACACAAGTTGGCGATCATACAATGTGTATTTACATCAGTACACACAGTAGGTTGTCGTGCATACAGCAGCATGGCTGACATTTCAATTTCAATTCAACTCTCATTGAACTGTCTTGAGTTGTTATTAATAAAAAAAGAAATGTTATCTTGAAATGATTAGCACTTCTTAATGTTTCTGCACCACAAAAGCAAACTCGTATCAGAGCATCTTTGTTGTTGTTGGTGAGCCGCTTCCTCTTTCATGTGAAACTTAAAGTGAAGCAAGAAGCAGCTTCACTAAACCAAACAAACCAGGTCTGCTCTTAACTCTCTCTGACACACACACACACATACTTCAAAACACATACATACTTCCTCAGATATGTACACACTCTAAAGTTTCCCCCAGCCTCGACCTTCACAAAGTGAAATGTCTTTTGTAGCTGATATTCAAAAGAAACGTTTCTTTGATCTAAGAAAGCAAGACTTTGGACGTGTCTCAGCGGAACCACAGAACAAAAAAGTAACCTTTTTTGTTTTCATTGTGTCACAGACAACAGTGGTGGTGGGAGGCTCTTTTGTGTGAAGTGCAAATAAAGCGGTTTGAACTTAATTGAATGTCTTGATCTCCCATCATTGACGGAGGAACTCCGGCACAGTTTCCTGGGGTTGTATCATCTACAAATATGACTGAAGGAGTTAGATTTATTTTTCACTGTGATCTTACTCACTTCCACTTTCTGTCCCCTGTGTTCTCCTTCTTTCCATCCCTGTGCCTCTCGCCTTCCTGTCCGTCTTCTTAGACGGCCTGTGGGGTTCGTGGAAGGACAACGGCTCAGCTGGGCCCTTCACCCCGTCCAGCAACAGCTCTTCAGGGGGCTACTGGAGCTGGTCTGCCGCCAGCGACCAGTCGAACCCTTCGACACCTTCTCCACCGCTGTCCGCCGACAGCTTCAAACCCTTCCTTGTGCCCAGCATGGGCGGTGTGGGATCCGGCCCCCCAGGGCCTGAGGACCCCAGCCTGGATGAGCAGGACGGCAGCAGCCTGCTCTTCGACGAGCCCATCCCTCGCAAGCGCAAGGTGAATACTGTCGACGGCGTCTGAGTTAACAGACTGAAAGGAAAGGCCTGTTCTGCTTCTGTATGCTGAGAACACATCTTGGTAAATTAGTAATTGAAGGCTTTTCAAATTAGGCATCTGAAGATGACGTTACACACCTGAAACACCAGACAGTTGGCAAACAGCTCCATTTCTTCTTCTCCGTGTTCTGACCGTATGTGCCCTTTAAGAGTCGCAACAGCACTGTGAGAATTTTCTTTTCATTTCATTGTGTGGTCGCATATTAAAGGGGCTTGAGGGAGAACGGCAGCGGCTCTCCTGATAACAGGCGGCTCTCTCAATAAGGAGCTGTCAGCAGCACGCGAGCTGCTCTTCAACACGCCGTGGTGTTATTAACCTCCGAGGTTACGGGTGTAGCCGAGACTCTGACTGACTGATTGGCAGAGATGAAAATGGGACAGGAAAGGACGCGCAGCCTTTTTGCTCCAGTGGTCGTTTTGTCTTTGCTGCACAGATGTTATGAGCACAACAATCACACACACACACACACGTATACACTGTTTCTTTCTCACTCATCATTTTGCCTCGTCTCATTTCTACACTCCACTGGCAGCTCATCACATCCACAGCACAGTGTCACTCATTATTTTTTCAGATCTATATTGCTTTGCTCTCCCTTTTTAACTCTCTCTCTCTCTCTCTCTCTCTCTCTCTCTCTCTCTCTCCTTATCAGCACTCCTACTTGCTGGTTTGTCGGTATCATCCATCTATTCCTCCTTTCACTCTCTCTTCCCCACTTCCTCTCCAGCTCTCGCTGATGTTTTCGCCCCCCTCTCTCCTCGTTCTGTATATATATATATATATATGTGTGTGTCTGTGTCCTCCCTAGACATTTGCCCTTCATAATTACTTATCAGTCTTCACATGCAGCTGCTTGCAACGGCAGTAATGATTTTAATACCCGCTACAGTAAACATAAAGATCCTGCCGGCCTCGTGTCTCCTCTAAGAATCGATAAAGACTCTTAGGTGAGCTCCACATCGGTCTGAATTGCTCGGGGACTCATGACGAAGAAGGGCAACGAGAGGGAGAGAGACATTCAGAAGTGTGAAGGAGAGCGAGGAAGAAGAAGAATTAAAGGGGGACTAACGGTACATACAGAAAAGGGGGAAGAGAGAATGGGGTGTGGATGGAGACAAAAACAGATTTTCTAATAAGCTTGGATAACAATGAAGTTGACTTCCATAAACACACACGCATGGTATATGTATGATGCCACGGTTTCACATAGATTTATCTACACGCTCCTCTTGTGCTCTCGCGTCTCTCTTGGCAAGACAATGCTGTTTGGAGCTCACCATTTAATTAACTGTGAAACGCGTCTTTAAAAGGGAATAACACACACACACACACACACACAAAACAGGCTTTTGTTAACCAAACACAAAACAATGCACGGGGGGGACAGATGATTGTTGTGTGTGGATGCGTTTCTGAAAAAAAAAGGATGAACAAGAAAAGAAAGAAACATCTTGTCGAAAATTAAATCAGCCCCCTCAACAATAGTTTGACAGGCAGGCCTACTGTAGAGGGCCATTTATAATGGCTCAGAGCGGGGAAGCAGGGGGGGCACGCAGGGCTTCTCACTCCATGAAAAACAAAGTGCAGTCTCTCTAGGAGGCCAGTGGTGTAATTACAGTAGACGGATAGAAGATACAGGAGCCTTACCAGCTCTCAACCGGAGAAACATTCACTGTGATTTGGCCTCAGTCAGCTCCTGTTCAGACAAAGATGCTACAGTAATGCTGATGTTCAAGATGAAAGTGCATTCAGTGGGGAGTTATTTCATTCATTTCTCGTCCGCTTACAGTAAATATTCAGTCTTTACTGAAGTGAAGTTAGACAGCAGAGGCAATGTGTGCCTCAGTTCCATTGAGCAATCAATATGCTTGTATGTTACGCAGTCACTTGAGAACCCTGACGCATTCTCCTACCTGCTCGATAATGAGGGAGAAATGATGTAGTTTAGGATAGTTGACCAACTCTGGAGGGAAATACCAGATATACCTCACCTTCTGTATTATAGAGATGGATTTAATGAAATGAACCAGTGAGAAAAAACAACAATCGTATATTTCCGTCAGCACGAAACCATTCATGAGCTGCTGTGTTTTCTGACTGTGGCTGCCGTACTTTGTGTGTTTTCCTGCAGAACTCCATGAAGGTGATGTTCAAGTGTCTGTGGAAGAACTGTGGCAAGGTGCTGAGTACCGCAGCCGGCATCCAGAGACACATCCGCACCATCCACCTGGGGTAAGACACCAGCGCACACTGCCTACCGAAGCGAAAGTCCACTCAAAGAAAGAAGCTTTTTCACTTCCCCTCTTCCAACCAGCTTCATTGTCAAAATATGAAGGTTGAAGGGGGAGGAGCAGGGGCCGTGTGTGTGTGACTGCACTGTGACCTTTTGCTGTGCACTGCAGATGTGGAGTAATCGGCATTCACAGGGACATTTGTCTTTATTTTCCTCTCTCTCTCCGTCGCCCCTCACCGCTTGTGTCCTCTTGTCTGTTTGTAGGCGTAGCTGTGACTCGGACTGCAGTGACGGCGAGGAGGACTTCTACTACACGGAGATCAAGCTCAACACGGACTCGGTGGCCGACGGGCTGAGCAGCCTGTCCCCCGTGTCCCCGTCCGTGGTCCCTCCCCTTCCCCCCTCTCCTCACCCGCTTCTCAGCCAGCTGTCGGACTCCCACAGGCCTCCGCAGCCGTCCGACGCCAAGGAGCCTCGCGGTGGCGGCGCCACCCCGCTCAGCCGCTCTGCGCCCAGCGCACTCTACCTCATCCACACGGACCACGCCTACCAGGTGAGCGAGTGTGCACATGTACACACACAGGCGAGATTAAGGTCGGTGTGCAACACACACGATCGATGTACTCTCTGGATCAATATGCACACCACGACACACTTATAAGGCTACACAAAATGCACATATTTTCTCTCACACACACTATATCAGGGTCTTCATTATGGTGATTATGTGTCACAGTGTTGACAAAAAAACACGAATGATGTCACGGCGACTTAATGGCACCTTGCTCCCGTTAGCAGCTGTGCTAACAGTTGTTGTATATTAACACACAGCAGGTTTGAACAATGAATGTGGAATAATGACCCAATCCATCTATTCATGGGACGGCAACGTGCGCGCAGCCACATAACAGCAACATTACTTATTAGTGCTTAATTTAACTGAAGAGTTTTTACAATGTGAGAGTTTATTAAGTTGACTGATGAATTGAAAAATTGTTTTAAAGTCAAATGAAGAATTTTTAAATAATTGTCCTATTTAAAAATAAAAAGCAGATACACAACCCTAGATGCCATTGCACAGAGCCAAACCAAGCAGCAGTTACAAACGATACAAAGATACAACGTCATTTACAACATTAGGGTTTTGAGAATGAAAAATGAAAAATGATTTTGTAGAGGCCATAGAAGTACTCCTGGTCCTGGTCCTGGTAATACCACCATTCTCACCTTTGACCTCTGCCCTCAGGCCACGGCTCCGGTGTCCATCCCGTCCAGCAGCAGTAACTCGACCGGCTCAGCCTCCACCAGCTTCACTCCCACCAACAGCTCCAGCTTTAGCGTCTCCTGGCAGTCCCCACCCGTCACTTTCACTGGAGCCATGGTGGGAAAAACGTTTACGTACATGCAAGACCAAGCATTTTGTTCTCAGCCGCATACATGTATGTACACTTGGGTTCCTCTAATCATACATTTGTCTGCCTTCCTCAGGTGTCCCCCAGTAAAAGCCAGGGCTTTGGGGAGCAGCGCTCCCAGACCATCGCCGTCCTCTCGTCCCCTCCCAGAGCCACCACTGCCCTCAGGTACTGGATCCTCACAGCACACTTACCTCACATCTCCTCTGCAGCTTTAATTAAAGGCCGAACAAACTTAAAGGGCGTATTTGATATCACCAAGAGGCATATTTAAGCCAATGCATCTAATATGGTTTTCTTCTTCAATTAAACCTGACTGAGTACAAAACACCATGTGGTAAAAGGTGAAAAATATTGATTCTCACAAATCAGCTCAATGACTCTGAATTAAAGAAAAGTCATCATTAATCAGCTCGGTTCATCCTCTGATTTGTCTAATCCACTTCAGTAAGGAGCCACGCTGTTTGACATTGTGTGATTTATGTGGTGATTCCTATTTACCGCATTAAGACACATTTTAGAAAAGGCTTTGTTACTCTGTTAGTCTACCTAACAGAATAGTTTCATCATTTGCTTTCTTGAGTTAGATAAGAAGTTTCCACTCTTATATCTGAACATAAATATAAAGCAGCAGTCGGCTAGCTGAGCTTAGCATAATGATTGGGAACAGATGGAAACGGCTAGCCTGGCTCTTTAAGTCGATCTTCCACATGTTTCTGTGAGGTTGATGCTGGAGCTCATGATGAAGTTAAAACACAGTCTTCTCCATCATGTCAGTTTCATCAGTGTTTCTTCATTCCTCCTCAGCAGGAAGGTGCGCGGTGAAGGGAAGAAGTGCCGTAAGGTGTACGGGATGGAGAACCGCGACATGTGGTGCACCGCCTGCCGCTGGAAAAAGGCCTGCCAGAGATTTACCGACTGAAGGCTCCCCACCGACTTCCCAGCGTGCCACACCAACGGGCACTGCTGCCTTTCGGCCAGATAAGAGGGGAGGGGCTTCATTTTGCATGCAATTGGTTTTCTTCGGCGAAAAGTCACAAGTTCTCCGTCAACTCCCGGCT